AATGTGTTTTGCCTATATTTTAAATAAAGTTTATTGCAATATTTTGCCTTATCTATATTTTATATCACATATGTTTCAATCCAGAAAAATAGGCATTATGAGTAAAGGTTTCTTTTATTGCACATGTCCCCTCCCTACAGATGTAAATATTGGTAATCAAAAAACAATTAATTGTTATAATAATTAAAGCACATTTTATATTATTAAGATCCATAAATAATAGCTATAGCTATCATCTACACGGATGTGAGGATTCAAACAAAAAAATGCATAAATCAAGTAAATATATACTGAAATATTGACAATTCAAAACTAAGAAATAGAAGAAACATTAGCACATGAAGCTTTCAGGGAAGAAAGTTCCCAAATTTCTTCAGGGATAAAGCCTTTCAGAAACTCAAACTAATTTTTGCGAACTGTGTTCATAGTTTGAACTCTCGAAAAGAAAGTAAAGTATAATTCTTGTTATTGCTTTCTTAGTGGAAAGCTAGACAATGGGCTATCTACTCTGTTCAACACAAGGAATCAAACCCCCACATTTTAAGTTGATAGACTTATTGCTGAGTCTGGGGGGGACGGGACATGTATAATTGCAAAAATCTGTGTGTGAAACTATTATGTAAATATTGTAAACTGTTACATTAAAGTTACGTTTTTTTTTGCTTTAATCTACTTAACTGACAAAACCACTTTGAAGTTCATGTATAGTGCTAAAAACAAATTAAACCAAACTTTTAAGGAATATTTATCGTTACAACTGGATGATTAGGTGAATTTGCTAATCAATTAACTGTTGGACTTACTGATTAATTACACTCACCTAATCAATTATTTTCGCATGACACTTGGATAAAGTTGAAATAATGGAGAATAACTCCAATAGGAAACACTAATTTAGATTGGTTGATTATTTGCATAAATTGTGGCTGATTGATGAAGCTGAACAACCTTGAGTGAATCAGAAATAATCAAGAGAAATCGTAATGGGAATATTTCAATTGATTTGATAGTTGATACAATCGAAAAAATAATAATCAGAAACACTAATTTCCATTAGTTGATTATTTTTGTGATATTAATTTATTTAATCATAATTTTGATTAACAATTATTTTACATGACACTAATCAGTGTACCCGATTCTCATGGGTAATTAACTATATTGTTCAATATTTAACTGCTCAGCTCTATTCATTATACAACTGAATGTTTTATAATTTTGTGGTGTGTTATTTAAAAAGCACCAAGAGAATGGAACTTAATATAAGATGAGGATTACATTGGATTACAAATATGAGGATACATTGTGTTTGTGTGTTAAAATCCAGAGTTCGTTGGTTATTTTACCATAATTTTAATTTTGGGTATGACTACTGGAAACTAGTGAGATGTACAGATGCTATTTTTGATTTAGGATTTTTGCCTGTGGAGGGGGATGAAAAAGACCCTGAAATAGCACAAATTTCCACTTTTCTTATAGAATTTTGGTTTCCATAACCCAAGTTGAATGTCTTGATTAATGTAAGTTTTTATATGGTAACTGGAAACTATCTGATGGTGCACATGGGCTATTTTGTTTTAAGACTTTTGCCCAAGAAGGGAGATAAGAAAAAAGGCCCCGAAACAGAGAACATTCCCACTTTCTTTTTATAGACTTTTGGCTTTCAATTTAAAGACACAAGTACTTAATCAGTACTTAATAAGTCAATTATTGCCTTCCATGAAGCAGAGTATGCAGTTAGCATCTAATGAGATCATTAGGGATTTAGAAACAAAAGAAAGGGAAAAGAATATTTTCTAACACTATCTTTTAAACAAATTTTGTTTCCTTAACAGGTACCCTCAGTTATTCATTATAATGTGTCATTCTAAATAACACTATAACACAAGAAGAAGTCCTGATGCATAATATTTAATAGAGGTAGAATACAAATATTAGACAACTGGAATAATGACATATATTACTTTAAAAAAAATCTGAAATTTTAAGGGGGTTCCATAATGATAGGAAGCACTGTGATAATGAAAGTAAATTTTTGTTAACCTTTTATCTTCAATGGAAGGGTTTTTTCCATTACCAGCATAAATGTATGGGTGGAGATGATAATGGGTTAAAGGAACTTCCTAGTGCCGTACGTCCCCCCAATTACAAGGAGAAGGACAGACAAGCAACAAATGGGCCCAAGTCAGCCAGTATTGTAACAGTAGAACTAAAATTATAGGAAAATAAATGTAGGGGTCTCAATTACTTTTTATGTAGGGGGGGGGGCTCTTTTGTATTAGGTCGTCAAGAAATTAATATTGTATTTTCACTGATCATCCCCAAAAACGTACATCACGTATATTAGTTAAATGAACTGCCTAAACGTCACATTAGTATAGCCTATATAATGTGTAAAGTGTAGTATACTCTAATCCCTTATAGTGATGACACATGACAAGACACAAATTGGGTATGTAATTGCTGTTTGAATTTCATGAAGGGAAACAACACCTCTGTAGCCATAAAGAATATCTAAGAAGTTTATGGAACGATGGTTCAGGAAATTTTGTTCAGGTGACTTTAACCTTAGAAACTGTGATGGCAGGGGCCAACATATTGGAATTGATATTGATACTCTGAAGATGCTTGTTGAGTCTAACCCAAGGCAATGCCCTTGTGAAATGGCCCTGAAATTGCATGTCTTTCATGAAACAATACTTAAACATCTAAGGAATATGGGAAACTCCAAAAAGATGTTTGGGTGCCTCATGAATTCGTCGATGATCATCGTTTCCAAAGTGTGAATGTTGCTTCGTCTCTTCTGGCGCATAATGCGAGTGTACTATTTTTGGACAGAATTGTCACCGGTGATAAAAAAAAAAAATGGATTCTCTATGAGAATATCAAATGCCAAAAACAATGGCTCAGTCCTAAACAAAAACCACTTCCAACACCAAAACCTGGACTCCATCTACAGAAAGTGATGCTTTGCATTTGGTGGGACATCATAGGAGTAATTCATTTCGAACTCCTCAATCCACAGTGAACTGTCAGTTCAGAGGTATATGGTCAGCAACTGGAACAATTAAATCAAGCCCTTCACTCGTCAATCGGAAATGTTTTTTTCTTCTCCATGACAAAGCATGTCCACATATGGCACGTTTGATGCAACACAAGATTATGGAGTTGGGTTGGGAAGTTCTCCCCACCCACCATATTCTCCATATACGACACCATCAGATTACCATCTTTTTCGTTTGCTGCAACACCATATTAATAGGAAAACGTATGCAAATGTGGAAGGTGTTAAAGAGGACACTGACATGTTTTATGCTTCAAAACCAAGTGATTTCTTTAATCAAGGCA